CTCGTTCTCCTCCGGCGCGGTCACCGCCGCCGCCACCACTGCCACTGCCACCGCCGCCACCACCACCACCGCCACCGCCACCACCACTACCATCACTGCCGTCACCACCACCCTCAGTCCTGTCCGCCAGGGGCGAGCTCTGAGTTTCGCCGCCCTTGGACTCCATCGCCGATTTCTAGGCCGATCTCGTACGATCGGTACCGGGGGAAAGGTGGATTTATACCGGAGAACGAGAAAACGAACGTTCTCCGCTGGCGGTTCCGCTCAATGAGAAGAAAGTTAGTTTCATTTTGTACATCCTTTTTTTTCTCCAACGGGAATTTTAATGAATTTCAAGTAACGCGAATAGATCGACGATTAAGTTCTTTCCACGCGGGATATCTGCTTACGCGAGTGGGTAATTTTCGAAAATTACTTGGAACCGGTCCTCCCCGTGGCCGTAGTTGGATCACGAGCCAGAAGGGAACCGTGATACACACCAGGATTCGGACCAATCTGTAATTGACTCACGAACAAAGTATAAATTCGCTACCATCCAATTAACGACAAAATCAAGAGAGGAACTCGTTGACCGGCAATCGTCTGCATGCGAGGCCGTTCGGAAATTTTGCCCGTCACGCTACCCCAATTTGCCCGTACCGGTTGCAAGCCACCCGGAGGACCAAAGTGGAGACCAAAGGGGACACGGAGAACAAGGGAGAGATATCTAGGGGTTCTCCCTACTCGGCTTTCTCTCTCTCTCTCTCCCTCTTTCTCTCTGTCTTTCCCTTTCTCTTTATCGAAGGTGGCGTGTGTATACGTGGAAGAAGGAAGAATCGTCGGGTTTAACGCGCGCGGACGGAACCGGAGCCGCGTGAATCCGCCCCTGCCGCCATCACCACTGGTTCGACGCCGGCACCTTCTCCGCTCGTCCTCTCCCGACGACGGTGTCTACCATCCCAAAGCCGAACCAGTCCAGAAATCCCCACTCCGGGAGCGCGCACCGCGGCGACGGAAGTGTGGCAACGCTGCAGCTCGCCAGTGTCTCGGTCTTGGCGAGTTACTCGGGGGGGCTCAGGCCG